GTAAAATTTTTATCTTTATGGAACGGAGGGAATATATTTTTAATATCTTTAATGCGTCTGGATATCCGAACCTTAAAATTTTGCTATCCGGATTCGGATCTTCTTTTCACGGATTCAAGATTTTACTATCCTTATCTGGATCTGGACTCCTCGAATATCCTAATTTTCGGAGCGGATCCAAACGAATATCGGATCGGATCTCAGATCCCACATAATAGTTTCACCCCTAATGAAGGTGATAAGAAATCGTGTTGTTCTCATATTGGAAAACCGAACATCACTCTACTTTTTGGCAGCCGGTCCAAAGTAGCTACTTTAGCATCTTGGAACAAATTCTTAATTTGGAGAAGCTTCATCGCATGGAAGTAAATGATGGTATGTCCTTTACATAACAAGCTGATCCATCTCAATTGGAGCTTCCAAAGCAATCTGAAAAACGTTCAATCGATCTTCCACAGACGAGAAAACATCTAACTTTTCACACTTGTCCTCGTCCTCCAAACTTGGTGATTCCTTTTGGAAATGCAAAAATCTATATAGAAGAACAATCATGTTTGGTTCAAATATCATACAGTAGTCTTTGTGCAACCAATTAATTACATGATTAGTTCTGTTTCATTAGTTGTGGCATCAAAATCTACATGATTAGCTCTTTTTGTTCAGTTGTGGAATTAATGAAGATATAGTTTGTGATGCCAATGACTTCTATATACGTGACATTGATCTCACTTTCCGGAACTTTGGATAACTTTTTGGAGCTGATCCAAAGCTAATTCACATACAAGAACAATGTTTTCATTGTGGGAACATCAGCCCTCAAATCAAGCTGGGGTTCTAAATTCATCCATCTATTATATAGTCTTAGAGTTAATCACTCCTCTTTAATATTTTTTTCCCTATTTTCTTGTGATAACCTAAGGTCTCTCTTATATCTTCAGATGAAGAAATTGTCTTCCCCAATCGGTAATTCCATATTTACACATAAACCAGTTGAGGAGGAAGCAGCAAAACGCATTACCTTCACAATCATCCAGAGGAAGTCATCTCTTTTTGTTTTCCTCTATCTAACAATGAGACACAAAATGCCATCTCAAGGCTCAAGGAGAAGAAAAGAGCACGCATGTGAGTCGAAATCTTCCCATTAGTGTTATATAAGAGAGTAAATATTAACTTTTCATAATTTAATTTACATTTTCTGGATTAAGAGAGCAGGAAAAGCTTAGTTTGGTCCCAAGAGAACAGAGAATAAACGCATAGTAAATAGCTATTGAATTGCATCTCTTTCTTCATTACCATGCCTTTGTACATAAGACACTAATCTAGCTTCCTCTATTTACATGATTTAGTTTCTTCCATGTAACTGTGAATGAAGAAGCCTCTACATTGTTTAATATTTGTTTCACCAACCAATTTGTAATCACAAGTTTCGCACCAGATTCAGCAGAATTATAACTAATCTTAAACTAAAAGGATCACTAATGTTAAACTAAAAGGTTTACTTAATAAACAATGACATCGACGATGATAATAAATGAACAGTAGAAATAGAGGGACATATGTGTTAAAAATCCATAATTGGTGTTTTGATTAATGTTGACAATAGCATCAAATAGGAGTTGGTTATAATTGTGATGAACAAGCTCAACTCTCCTTTTTTTCCTCAATATTAGAGAATTAAGTTGGCTAGAACCAAATGATTCACTCAACCTACAATCTTCAACAATTTTCTTGTATCGGATTAAGTTTCGCAAGCTCGACTGCTGGTTGTCAATCAAATCTTAATTTTTACTTTAGTTAAGGTCGATAAAAATTATGTATAGACTTAGTATCAGTTTCGACAAAGAATTTGTGCATATCAAAAGTGCAGTTATAATTTAGAATGTTTAGAACCCACTTATCGATTATGGAAGAGATTGTTTTCTACACTTGTGAAGCAAACTAGGTAAGAGATATTTATCGGAAAAAATCCGCGCATACGCGCGGATACTCACCTAGAGTATAATTTGTAAATTGTGTTTTACCGTGAAATTTTCCGAAGTTTTATTTATTGAAATGTTTGCAATATGAGAAGAAGAGTTCACCTTTTTGCCGATACTTGACAATTTAATATTTTAACACATGAATATAAAAATGGACCGTTGACC